TATCAATTATTTTAGGGGCTGTTTTGTATGAATGTAAATGTACAGCTATATTGTAAATACATGTTTAATAATAAAAAAGAGACTTTTTTCATCAATGGGTCTCATTTTTTTGCAAGTCTCCATTACTAAACTGAAGATGACTTTTGAAGTTTGTATTACTGCATAATTGGGGTATTAGTTGTAGCATTTAGAAAAAATAAGGTAATTTTGACGATTAGCTTAAGAGCGTTAAATGGGAAAGTTGATGTGAAAATGACTGTGAACTTGATCTTAGCAGACTAATACATCTTTTAAACCTCTGGTCTATAATGCAGTTTAGTCTCATTTCACATAACAGTGCCTGTCACAGTATAATCACTTTAATTGCTTTATTTATTCACTCTTCATTTCCTTCATTCACATGAAGAGAGATAATATGTTTTTTCTCCTTTTCTCCACAGAAGATATTAAACAGTTTTGCAAAGAGGTTTGCCAGATTTCTTTGGGGTTTAGCTTTGATACATGTACATAATGAATTGGCCTGAATGTGCGTGTATAGACCTTTAAAGTCATTGTAATTCCCATTAAAATATTACATGCAGATGACAGTCAAAACATGCTGCATCGTAACCAATGCAAATAAAGTTTGCATAATTTTGTCATGGTTAATTGAACAATTTAGTACAGGAGTCCAGCTGCATCATGCATATGCAAAGAAAAAAGATGATGGTTATAGTCTTCACGTTTAGAATATAATTTTGTCATATTTGGGGAGCAGGGGTGGTAGTTGTGTCCCCAGGCAAATATATAATTTTTTTAATCCAACAAACTCTTATTAGAGTATTAATACACTGTAAAAAATAAATAAATAAATCAGTGCAAAAAAAAAAACCAAAAAACAATCTGTATTTCCTTTCTCTTTTTGTTGTTCACTCAACTTTTGAAAACATCAGCTAAACTGACCTAAAATTATTTGTCAGAAATACAAAAAAACATTTAGTTGGGTTAACATAAGATTATTAGTTTTCTGGAGAGTTGAAATACTCTATAACAAAACTTTTTAAGTTGTGTCAACTGAACTTTTTTTGTCTGCTGAACTGAAATGCCTGAAGTTGAGTGAACAAAAAAAAAACATAATCCTTATTTTCTTTCAATTTTTTTTCCTCACATACTCAACTTTTTTTTTCAGCTTTAATGGATAGGATAGTAGAGAGACAGGAAAGCAGGAAAGGATCGCCATAGGACCTCAAGGCAGCAATCAAACTCAGATCTCCATGAACACCTGAGTGTCATGTGTCAAAATGTCTGAAGTTGAGAAAACAAAAAAACTCTTTTGGAAGTTGGTACTAAGAAATAATATATTATCAGACCAAACAAAGTATCAACATAGTTAAGTTGAAAAAACAGGAAGGCATGTTCACATGTAAAGCATTGCATAGCCTTTTCCCCTGTTTGTCATGCCATGTTTTGGTCCTTGTCTTGATTACCGTTACTGTTTTTCTGCCTCCTGTCCTGTTTCTAATTCTGTGTCTGATAAATGTTTTGTTAACTTTTGTCTCTGTTTTATTTTTATTTATTTATTTTTAAGTGAACTTTGTTTGTTTGAAATAAGGATTATGGTTTTTTGTCATACGACAATTTTTTTTACAGTGTACTGTAGATGTCTGCTTAATATCTGCTTTTAGTTTATTTTTATCAAAAGCAAGACACTTCACCTCTACTTTCACAGACTGCTTTACACATTTTGGGTTTGGGTATTTCCTTAGTGTGACAATAAACATGATGATTCTTATTTGACCCAAATAAATCAAATGTGCTTTCATCACTACAGTGAACTGTGAACCAGTTCTCTGTTTACAGAACATGCTCCTCACTCACTCAGCAAAGCTTAGTTTAACCTTTTGATTATTTCTGCTGATAAGAGGTTTGGTCACTGCATGTCTCATACTCATACTTTATGTTAAGTGACTGAACTGAACAGATGAGCACTTTCAGTGTTGAAACTGTTTATCTGTTTAGATTATCCTGTCCTGTTGCATTTTATGGACAATCATTTAATTTTTTTTATTTTTATTATTTATTTATTTATTTATTTGCATGACTTCAATGAGTTGTAAAGATGCAATGTCCTAGAAATGACCGATTCAGAACAACCAATTTCTTTTCCTATGGAGGCGCAGACCTTTGGCCTTCATCTGGAAAAAGTGCTGTCTCAGGGATTCAATCACTTGGGGCCCTATCATACACTCGGCGCAAGGTGTGACACAATTGTTGTTTGTTAGTTACAGCTTGTCGTAAGAGTCGTTTTGTCGTTTGACACATCGCTGTTTAAATAGCAAATGCATTTGTGTTCATATGTGCGCCTATACGCGTTCTGATCTAAAAAAGGAGGCGTGTTAAGGCGCATTGCTATTTTGAGGAACTTGAATAGACTGTTCAATAGACCAGATCAAAGCTGGTCTATAGTCTAGGACATAGGACAGGAGTGCATTATTTGTGCGTCTCGCTTACACACTGCTTAATACATGCTGGGTGTACAGCAATACACAAATATCTTTACAAATGAAAAATAATTAAAGGATTAAAACATTACAAAACATTATTTTCTAGCCTACATAAATGTAAAAACCACCGCCTACATGCCTTCTTCATCTGACAGGGCTTTTTCAGTTTATTCAGAATAATTTGCTTTTTGTAATGAAGTGGCTGACACAGAGGGATCCATTTGCAGTATATTTATTAAACACAGTTTAAAAACAACAAGCACACAGATGTAATGCGTGTGCGAACTCACTCGTATGCATATTTATATTTGTTTAATTAAAAGCAAGCTTAGATTTGCCCACCTGTAAGGTTTTAGACAATATAGGGCCTAGCATGTGTATTTGGATATAACTCATCTTAACTCATAACTCATATAACTCTTTTGATCACACTTCGTTATTACTGTTCCTTTATTCGTTTGCTGGAAATAAGAACTGAATTAAGAAATAGTTTTGTAACCAATCTTTGCACTTAACAAACTAAATAATTATGTAGGCTAATTGATGTCTGTGCGTACAACACATTTCCCAATCCACGAGAGTGAAAGTGAAAGAAAAGAACGAGGAGGCTCATCTCTCATTCTCGCGCTGTAGATGGTCTGTTTAACTTTTTTTTCTAGCTAGTGAAGGGTTCAGTTTTTCCACTTACAAAGTCCGCTATGTAAATACTGTAGCAAATGCGCAATGGCGCGATGCAACTAACTCTTAAAGGGAGATGAGACTCTGATTGGTTGCTTCTCATAATACACCTACATGTAAAACTCATTAAGAAAAAGGGCGGATTCTGACACGCCCTTATTGATATGCACCCTGCGCTATGTAGATACAGTAATTAAGGAATTCACCACTGGTGCCTGGATAATGCCAATAACTGGGAAGACTCTGTGAGTAAAACAATTATTGTGTCCCGATTTACATACTATATTCTGTCCTAAATAGTATTTGAAAAAAGAATTAGTATTCCAATTCATCGTATGTTGAAATGAGTATGAGTCTATTGTTACCAGTAGAAATTCGAAGCAATGTTCTCTGTGTACTTGAAACGCTAATATTGGCCACAATACATTGTGCTCTAGATGTGAATTTGGTTCAGGAATTGCAAATGCGAGTAAAAAGTGTTATACTACAAACATGGCTCTCTCTGGTAAGGATCCTTAAATGACTTTTCTCAAAAAAAGACTTACTTTTAGGATAGTATGCAAACTGGAATGCAATAGTTCTTTTTCAAATAATATTTTTAAATTCTGTGCTTCAGAATATATGCTACTCATAAAATATACTTTAACATGCTGTTTTATTAATGTTAGAATCACTTTAAATAGTAATTAGCTGTGATCTCATCATTTAGTAAATATAGGTTGTTATTTTGATTTCCACTCTATATTAAAATATTCATTTATTCATTTTCTTTAAACTTAGTCTCCATTTCAGAGGTAGCCACAGCAGATTTAATCGTCAACTATTCCAGCATATGTTTTACAGGATGTAGTGGATGCCTTTCTTAGCTGCAAAACACTCATTCACTCATATACACTCATTTACACATACACACACATACAGTACACTCCGGCCTATTTAGTTTTAGTAATTTAGTATTCAGTTCACCTACAGCACACGTTTTTAAACTGTGGGGGAAACCTGAGCACCAGGAGAAAAACCACGCGAACATGAGAACATGCAAACTTTACACAGAAATACCAACTGACTCAGCCAGGACTCGAACCAGCAACCTTTTTGCTGTGAGGTGACAGTCCTACCCACTGAGCCACCATGCCGCCCATATTTAAATATATTAATACATATTTTGAGAATTTATTAAATCCATTTTTATAAATGTATATTTTGGAGATTGAATTTTGTCACTCTGGTGAATATATGTTTGGGTAGTTGATTGGTCACTTTTTGAAATTATTCAAGCAGTGTTTGAGAATACAATATGGTTTATAATGGTCATCAAATTGCAAAAGCTGTGTAATAATTAAATACATATGTGGTTATCGAAAAGAAAGCACCGAGAGCATCTCATGAAAACTGTCTTACCAGTGTCTCAGAGAGGCTGAGTTTGCAGTGAATGTTGTGCATTTCATTTCTATTGTGTAAAATGTAAACATTGCAGAAGTTTCCCTGCAGTTTAAATAAACACTTTAACATTTGAAAGCATGAACATTAAATAAATATATATATAAACATAAACACTGAAATCAATTAGACGTGTATTTAGACGTAATTGAAATATTATTATAATATTGTTTGAAAGTTTTGCTGTTGCACTGATTGCATAACACATGAGAAGAGCTTTTGTGGATGCTTTAATCTATGAAAGAATGTGTGTGATTTGCTTATGGTTGCCTGTCAAGCCACATTTCATTCACCAACCTATTTTACTTTGGCCTTATATCATTTATTGGTGTTAATAAAAGCCTGGGTGTATCAGGAAGAGCAGGGCATTTGCAGCATTGCTGATGATCAGAAGTAAAGATGGAGCCATGGCTGTACGCTTTAATCTCCAGTCCCCTCTGCCTCATAGGCATGGTTTTCAACCTCCTCTTCTTTTTCTGCCTCATGCGGCCAGTCTCCGGAGTGACGCTTCGTAATCCACTGCGCTTCTTGTTAATTGTTGTGCTCGTCAATTCTACATTTCAATATCTGGTCATAGCCGTGACCATTATTATGCTTCTTTTTGATTACATTTTCTGGCTGGAAACAGTTACCAGAGCTCTGATTTATCAATTCTTTTGCGGAAACTTCTTGTGCAATGCCTGGATCAGCATTTTCTACTACATATCAATTGTTCCTCAACATCATGCCATCTTCATCTGGATTAAGAGGAATATTAAAGCTATTTTATATGGGGGCTTCATTCTAAATCAAATAGTGCTTACGTTTGCTATATCTACGGGGGCAGTGACATATTTTTTTCTTGGGCCCGTCCCAGTTAATTTTACTGCACTTGAACTGAACTCAACAGCACTAGCACAAACCTTAGAGGCAGACATGTTTTTGTTTCATGTGGCAAATTTTTCATATTTGCTATATTGCACCTGCCCGTTGGTCACACTGATAGTCTCTTGGGGCAAAACTTTTTTTTATCTGCGTGGACATATGAAAAAGATGGGACAGAGCGGCGAGTCTTTTTCCCAGCCCCAGCAGAAGAGCCAGATGCGAGTCACAGTGACAGGTATGGTGCAGGCAGCACTGTTCCTACCCAGTAGCCTGTGGACAGTAGCAGCTGCTCTCCTCTACATTACAGGCCTCTTTGAAGAGGTGGATCCCAGCAGGTTTATCACAATGACTTTCTGCTCACTGTCCAGCTTGGGAAATCTGCTGTGTTTCGGATTCTCCCAGTCTGTGTTTCGCCGTGGGATTGTAAGTGTGATTAAAAAGCTAAAAGGTTGAACGCTTTCAGTTGGGATTCTTCTCGTTTATATTTTACTCTGTCTGATACAGTTTGCTGGTTTGTATGTAGACTCTAAACTGTATAATTATATGTTAGCAAAGTAAAAACAAAAGTGAGGAAATTATTATTTTCATGAAGGACTAAAAAAGGTTGTAACAGGATTTGTTCAAATGTCAAATGTAATTTGGTTTATATTTTTTGTCTTTATATACAATATGCAATATAATATCCCCATATTTGTCTGCTTTACATTAAAGTATTTACAGTTGAAGTCAGAATTATTAGCCCCCTGAATTATTAGACCCCCTGTTTGTTTGTTCTTTTTTTTAACAGAAAGAATATTTTTTCAACACATTACACATACTTGTTTTAATAACTCATTTCTAATAACTGATTTGTTTTATATTTGCCATGATGACATTAAATAATATTTGACTAGATTTTTTGAGACACTTCTATACAGCTTAAAGTGACATTTAAAGGCTTAACTAGGTTAATTAGGTTAACTAGGCACTTTAGGGTGATTAGGCAAGTTATTGTATAAAGATGGTTTGTTCTGTAGACTATTGAAAAAAGTTAGCTTAAAGGGGCTAATAATTTTTACCTTAAAATGTTTTTTTTTTGTTTTTTTGAATCTGCTTGTATTCTAGCCAAGATAAAACAAGACTTTCTCAAGAAGAAAAAATATTGTCAGAAAACCTGTGAAAATGTCCTTGCTCTGTTGAACATAATTTGTGAAATATTTAAAAAAGATTTATAAAATTCAAAGGGGGCTAATAATTCTGACTTCAACTGTATGTCTTACGATTTGTAAATCAGTGTCAAAAGATCCAGATGTTGTTGTAACCCACAGTGGTATCTTTTGCACTTAAATGTTATTAAATGATTGTTGCAGATTATTGACAGTTGAAGCAAAGCCAAAAATTGTAAGGCAAATAGAGGCTGTGATTGTGGCTTGTCTCACAACTATGTCATGTGTTTATGTTGTTAAGTTATGCCTAACCCTGCTTTATTCTGAATGGTTAGGAGTGCCAGGAAAAAGCCAACACCCCTTTATTTGCATCTTCAAAATCTTTTTTATGCTACATTTACTGTGTATCAAATCCTGCACATGGATTCACTCTAACCATTTGATTTTAATAAAATATATAGTTAAATCCTTGCCTGTCTCGTCAAAAAAAGGAGAATTTGCATTGACCATACCTTCATGGCCCATTAACTGTGATGGGGTTGTGTTTCATTGAACGCCTTGTGATATGTCAGCCAGAGACTGAATAAAACACATATTCAGCTATAGCTTTAAAGTAAGAGAGCTTGAACTTTAATAAAGCATTGTAAAGATTAAAACCCTGTATTTGTGTAAGAATCTGTATAATGTACTGTAGTTTAATGAAAGGTGGAATTGTCTGTCAGGCATGTTAGCTGCATTGTTTTGTTGAGATATTGCAACTCATCAAGCATGAACATTTACATCATTATTTTACAATGAAAAATTACATAGCTTTTCTTTTCCCTTTTATTAACAAACACCTAATGTACATATAGTGTGACTTGTTTAACTGAGGCTTATAAAAATATGTTAAATAATATTCTATTCAGCAATTATTAAAGTAGCTTCTCTAAAATATTTAATGATATTAATTAGTAATAATGGCAAAGCAGTGGCGCAGTAGGTAGTACTGTCGCCTCACAACAAGAAGGTCGCTGGTTCGAGCATCGGCTCAGTTGGCGTTTCTGTGCGGAGTTTGCATGTTCTCCCTGCATTCGCATGGGTTTCCTCCGGGTGCTCCGGTTTCCCCCACAGTCCAAAGACATGCGGTACAGGTGAATTGGGTAGGCTAAATTGTCCGTTGTGTATGAGTGTGTGTGTGGATGTTTTCCAGAGATAGGTTGCGGCTGGAAGGGTATCCGCTGCGTAAAAACTTGCTGGATAAGTTGGTGGTTCATTCCTCTGTGGCGACCCTGGATTAATAAAGGGACTAAGCCGACAAGAAAATTAATGAATGAATTAGTAATAATATTTTTTTTTCTCAGAAACAGACATACATGACTATAATCTTTTATTAAAAAAATTATAAAAAAAAAAAAAACTGAACACACTGAACCTGACTGTAAGAGTATGTATAACATTGCATTAAAAATTGGAAAGGTTTTCCTCTGAGTTGTTGAAATAAATTGTCTGCCTACAACATAGTCAAAATGATTACTGTTCACACAGGTCCATAAATATGCACAGAAACTCTATGGGCCCTATCACACCACGCAATGTGGCGCAAGGCGCGACGTAATTGTTGTTTGCTAGTTTCAGCCTAGCACAAGAATCATTTTGATGTTTTGTGCCATACTGTTTAAATAGCAAATGCATTTGCGCTAATATATGCGCTTATAGGCATCAATTAGTCTATAAATAATTACTTTTGTTTGTTAAGCGCAAATATTCGTTTCAAAACTATTTCTAAATTCAGTTCTAATTTCCAGCAAACGAATAAATGAATAATAATAGCAAAATGTGCTCAAAAACCTGAGTTATATCCTAAAACACATGCTTTACCCCATATGGTCTAAAACCTGACAGGTGGACAAATCTAAGCTTGTTTTTAATAAAAATAAATAGAATAAGTAAATATATAGATATAATAAATAATACTGCTAATAATAATAACATTATACAAAAGCAAATTGTTATGAATGAACTGAAAAAGCCTCCCGAGATGAAGAAGACATAAAAGCAGTGGTTTTTCATATTTATGTAGGCTAGAAAATATGTTTTGTAATATTTTAATCCTTTATATTTATATCCTATATCTATTCTTATTATATTCTATATATATATCCTTAATATTTACATTTTTCATATGTAAAGATATTTGCCTATTGCTCTCTTGTGTGTATTAAGCAGTGCGTAAGCGAGGCGCAACTCTGCGCCAGATATTAGACCGGGTTAGTTTTGGTCTAATGAAAAATCTATTATAGTTTCTCAAAATAGCAACGCGCCAGCGGTCCGCCTCAGAACGCCTTTCTTTTTAGACCAGAACGCCTATGGGAGCACAAATGACCGCTAATGCATTTGCTATTTAAACAGCATAGCGCAAAGCCTCAAAACGACTCTTGCGCCAAGCTTAAACTACCAAAAGACTACTGTATCACGCCTTGCGCCACACTGCGCCGGGTGAATGATAGGGCCCTAAGACTTTTAAGACCCAAGAGTTTTAAGCCATGCTACATTTCCTTTTTACTTTATGAGCTTTTTGTCGAGCCACGCATAGGTAAAGGAATGTGTGCTAATAAAATCAATTAGCTTGCCATTAATGCACTATGGTAAAAAGAAACTGTGCAGAAGTAAATTTTAGTAATTAATAGTGTGACCTGTAATCAAATGCACGTTACATTATTTTAAAGTATAAATGTTCGTATTTAAGATATAGTTTTAGGTCCGATTCTATGCAATTTTGTAGTAGTGATTGTGACTGTCGTCATTTAACATAACATTTGAACCTGCCATTGGAGGAAGCAATTTAATATTCACATAATCACACTTTTTAGGTGAAATTTTTCACAAGCTATCTGAAATGTTAGTCACACTTGAGTGAACACAATATTTTTTCAATATTTAATGGCTGACTGCTTCTGATTATTGCTTCATTTCCCATTTGCTAACATTACTTCATCATTTAATTTAGCAATTAAGAAGTGAAATGCCTTTTAGAGGGGTGAACGCTCACTGTTTTTATTTTATATTATCTTATCTTATCTTATCTTATATCATATTATATTATATTATATTATATTATATTATATTATATTATATTATATTTTAATTTATTTTATTTTATTTCATTTTATTATATTACATTTCTTTTCTAAATAGGGATATATTCATTAAACAAACCCATCAGCTCATGGTTAAAACTGACATTTAGTTAAAAAGAAAATGGAAGTCAAAGGTTAGCTGTTTGGATCCCAAAATTTTTCTTATTTTCAGTTGAGTAGAAGAAAGAAACCAACAGCTTTGAAACTAACCTAAGGTGAATAAATGATGACAGGATTATCCTTTCTGAGTGAACCCTCCCTTTAAAAGATCCCATTTGTGTGATGCAGAAAATGAAAATGTTGCAAGTGGCCAATATTTCTCTCTGTCATTGAAGCTAATTATGCAGGGACAGCTAATGAAGATGTCTTCCTCTTATAAACCTCTGGTTATTTCATAAATACTCTGGCTTGAAGGACAATTTTGGCTTTTATCTCATTATCTGCCTTATCCCTTCCCAATGACAATCCAATAAAACTCTGTAATTGTTCCCTCTGGGTGCAGGCTAACACTCAGTAAATCATTTGAACTCCGAATATAACTTGGATAATAGGAAATACTGTAGTCTCTAAGTCAGACTACTTTACCGTGGCACAATTAAAGAAGTACTGAACTGAGCTCTTATTTTGTTTTTTGTTTTATTTTTTCTCAGTTATTGGTTTAAAATGATTTTTTTATGTATACGTATACATTGACACATATCGTCACATATCGTTGACATATTCTTATTAAATGACAACTTATTTACATTGTGGGATATTTTAAGACTTTTTATTTAAAAAACCAAAGTTACACGCATACTGTTTGCTATATGGAATGCACAAACTTTGAAGCTCAATAGCTCGAAATCATTTAGAACGCAGATAGAACCTTATAATTCCAAGGTGACGATATATCCTTGGATATATATAAAATGCTTTTGAATTGTGAATATTTTTCCATTACAATTAGGTTTTACACACAGTAAACAAGACTGTGCTGGTCCTTAATGGCCCCACTTGGAATTAGCATAAGGGTCTTCATCAGCGGGCTGCCAGCACAAGGTCCATTAAGAGCTTTCTCTCATATTATGTTGTACATCCAAGTGTAATGAGTTATTGTCAAACTATCTGTCAGATGCTGATTGGATTGTAAAAAATGAGCATTGCATCCAAAAATAAAGGCTGCTGAACTCACAAGCCTGTCAGTTTA